TAGGGCATATATGTTGCATTTTTTACATAAGGAAGCCAAGGTGAATTTCAAATGCTTGTTTGTACACGTTAAAAATAGCTTTCACACTGTGTTAAACAGATGTAAAAGTGTGATTTGGCAGAGTCACTTCAAAAGGTAAGAATGTTTATGCAGAATGAAACTAACACTTAACTAACCTGGTTTTTGAAGTGCTGTGCAAATACAACAACATGGTGCCTTTCAACACTTGAGCCTCAAGATTAGGGGAAAAATCATAGGTGTTGCTTGACATGTTCAGGAGTGCTTCACTCACTTTTTTTCCATCTTAGTTCCCATTAGAATTTTTGATTATGTGATCTCATTTCTACTTTACTGAAAAAATGGATGCAGCAAGCTACTTGAGGTAATTTCACTCAGAATACTATCCTTACCGGGCGTTTTTTTATTTTATTTTATTTTTTACATTAAATAGGCTGTTGTGCTTCCCTCTTACAACTGCTATTTTGATTTAATTATTTCGACTCCATTAACCATCAACCATATGTGTTGTAGGCCTACTGTACATACTGTAAGGCTTGATACCTAAAACGTTGTTCGTATGACAATGTGCCACATTTTTTTTCTCTATCTTATTTAAAATTAACAACAGAATCGCATTTGTTCCTCAAATTGTTAATGGAACCATTAAAGAACAGAAATAAATTACTCAACATAAAATGCAATCAATTGTGCCACCATTTCTAAATATTTTAGTGGCTTTAGTTTATTTGTAAAAGTTATCTGTCAAGCAGGTTTTAAACTCAGAACCTCGTGCAAGGAACATTACTTTAAATCACATCAGCTCAAGCTCAGGTAACCCCTTAAGACTGAAAACTTAAGCCCTGAAAAACTTTCTCGGAAATTTAGCATTACATAAGAACTGTACTAAACATGAGTGGGTGCAAATTAGCTTTGATATGCTTTGAATGTTTTGGTGATTAGGGAAATGAGATTTCTCTTGCTGCTTTTGAATTTATTTGTTGTCTTTTTCTCTTGCAGGGAGCTACAACTGAGCCTGAAGAGGTGGATAGACTGGAAGAGATTGCAGGTTGTTCTCATCCTGAGAGTCCAGAGCATACAGAGCTGAAGTCCCTGTCTGAGCCTGTAACCATGGAGACAAGTGAAAACTCCAGCACAGCAAACATAATTGACTGTGAAATGGAAGTCCTGGAGACTGAGTTACCTGAGAGCAAGGACACAGGAAACAACGATGAACAAGTCTGTTATGATGCTGACATTTTAGAGTCCATTAGTACAAAAGTTGTGTCTGACATTTTAGCAGGCTTACCTCCTACGGAGACCAAGGCTGATGATCTGGAAGATGTTTGCAGTACGAAAGAGGCGCTTGTCTTGGAGGATACTCAAGAAGAACTTTATCGCAATGAGTCAATTACCTCTTCAATATCTGACACTCCGTCAAGTGCTGAGAGTGTGTATGAGAATGATGTCATGCATAAGAGACAAGATTCTCTAAGACAGGAACCAATGGAGAACATAGCATCCCAACCAGATGATGTTGACGATGGAGATATGTTAGACCAATTGGGTATTGACTCACAGGAAGCCATATTAGAAAGTTTTGGATGTGAAGATCCAGAAGAAACCATCCTTGAGCACTACATCCGAGAGGAAGTTCTGTCAGACGTCTCCACAGAGTCTTGCCATGACCCAGATGAGCTAGAAGAGTGTCTTCGGGTCGAAATAGCTGCGGTGTCATCAGACAGCGACACCGATGATAAATGGAGGAACATCTTCTCTTCCTCCATAAATAAGGAAGATGATGATTCCTACATTGACAGTCTTGAGCTGAGTGCACAAGAACTCTTTATTCAAAAACCTACAGTTGGGAATACTGAGGACATGTCAAAGGAAACTGAAGAGCTGGAGATTCCGGTGGGAGAAGAAGTGCTAGAACAACCAGAAAATGAGCCAGTTCAGCAAGCGCAAGAGATATCTTACAATCCTTCCACACTGTTCCACGGCTTGTCCAAGATTTCCGAAGACGATGAGGAGCTTGGACGAGGCTCAGCAACCCACAAGAGCAATTCATTTGATTCCGTCAAATCCGATTCCAGCAAAAAGGTGCCGAAAGATTATTGTGTGATTCAGGAAATGAAAAGCGAGAACGTCAGCACAGAGCATGTGGATTTCAAAGTTGCTCGCCAGCAGTGGCTAGAGATCGAAGAGCAAACAAAAAACTTGACACACCATCCAAGCACACCAACAACTCGATCTGGAACCTGTCAAGGTAGTCACAGTTCCATGTATACACCTGTCCGCAACATCGAAAGGCCGAAGAGGGATCTTGAGTGCTTGTCGCTTGTAGAGGATTACGCACACACCCAGTTCAGCCCTTGCTCTGAGGATTCAGGTCTGGACGACTCTAGCTACAGATCACCATTTGATGATCCAGAGACCCCAACTGAGAAGGAGATTCGCCTAACCTTGGAGCGTGAGGAGAACCTAAGGCGTGAGAGGGGAATGTCAAAATCATACTCCAGTGACTGTGTACAGATAAGGGCGAGATCTGCCAACTTGAACCCTGGGAAACTATGCCAAGAAGTCGATGAGAAAAGGAAGATGTTGGAAGACCAGGATGATGATGATGGAAGTATATCCAAATCTCTCAGCAACAAGACGCCTTCTTTCATCATTACCTCCTCACCAACCAAGAGCGCACAAAAACAAGACATGGCCGCCAATAATGTTATCATCCTCGAGCCAGAGCCTTTTCCTCCAAGTCCAAGGCATGGAAAGATGGTGTCCTCCAAATCTGCTGACTGGAGACCTGAAGATACCCCTAATGTCATAATTTTGGAGACATCGAACCTCATCATTCGAAGTGCATCTGAGTTCAACTTGAATTCTGACTCTGAAGAAACTCCACAGAAGATGTTCCTCAACAACCCGTTTTTTAAGCTGCGGTCTAGGAGTACGATATCTCTAGTTGATGAGGAGATTATGACGGTGAAGCAGCGAGAAGAGGAACTCAGGCGTCAAAGAGCCAGTGTTTACTCGAAGGATCACTTCCTGATGTCTCCAAACTGTTTGGACAGCTCATCATTTACAGGTATTTCATGCCAAGAGAAAAATACAGACAGAATTTTTCATTCTGTTGATCTGAAGTAATGACTACATCACTGAGACTGCAAACACATACATGTCATTGTCAGAAAAGATCTGTTTATTCTTGGTTGTCAATTTAATTTCAGATGATGTGCCACTTAAATGTAAATCATCCCCTTCATCTCCAATGAAAACATGCAGAATGGATCGTTCAGCTTTGTCATGTGATCATCGAGTAAGTATATGTAAATATACATGCAGTGTCAGAGCAAAAGATGGATATCGTATGGACCACATGGAATTCAAATGATCGGTATCTTCAATATATTAGGTTGCAGAATTTTTTTTTCAAATAGAATTAAATTACTTTTATTGTTCTCTCACTAGTTTCCTGAACCCTACAATGGAGGCCGACGTAAAAGTGCCATGGCTCTGCGCTGGGAGGCAGGGGAGTTTGCGAACAATGAGTAGAAATGGACACTGACGCCAATTTGCAGCTGGTTTACGTAAGATAATTTTCAATGCTCAAACTCGTCTGTTTATTGTGATAGCATATACACCTGCTACTGCTGCTTGTGTGACTTTGTTAATGATCCAGAAAAAATCTGCATATGCCGAGATGCCTAAATGTTATTTGAATGTACTGTTTCATGCATATTTGTGATTCCTCTTTAATGAGGTATCTGGAGAGACTTATAAACCATATTTTTAGTGTTTTGTCTACAAAGTTGAGGAGAATATGTATTGTATATTCATATTGTATTTTCTTGTAAGGCAATGTTTGTATATCCCTAAATTATATGAAAATATGAAGCAGTTTTACAGGGTTTTAGGATCAAATTGAAGTGAAAATGTATTCAAAATGAATGTATTTTGTTAAATATCGCTGAAAACAGATCAATTTGGTATCTTTTGTCAAAGGAACATTTTTTTTTAAGAATTAATCTGAATTTGATTGCTCTAATAATATAGGGAAATTTTTGAATGAAATATTCTGCATCCAGATTACATTTCAGTACTTTAGTTACACTCAGTATGAAAACCGTAAATCTATTTAGTAATTATATAAATCTTAGAAAACAATCTATTATTTAAAAATGACCTGTTGCTTTGTTGTCTACAGATAATGTGCATATTTATGTCAAACCGCCATGCTTATAAAACAGTATTGCTTGCTAACCTTTGAATCCATGTCAGTCTCAAGAAAATACTTGCTTTGCATATCGTTTGAACAATCATGTGTTCAAAATACGAATTCAAAAATAAATGTCAATTAAAGGCAATTGTCCATTTATACTACAACAGTTAATTATGTTGATAAGCAACCACACCATGTTGCCTATGTATTAATGCCTATGTAATAACACTTCACAGGAGAAAAAACGTCTTCACACACAGAAATTACTATAGATACAGACAAATTGCATGATATTCAATCTAAATGAAGTAATTAATCAAAACATGGTTTTAGATATACAGCCAGCAGCACAGGTACCCATGATCCTAAAGGACTAAAATAACAGTGCAAAGACACAGATTAATACAAAACATATGCACATATTTTAGAAGATAAAGCTAGTAACACAGTTTAATTTCAAAAGTTTTATTTAAAAAAAACTGATCAATCTGTCACAGATTGTCATCTGTGCAAAACCCTAAAAAAAAATGGTCCACTTCATCCAAACTACATTCAGTCTTTGTACAAAATGGACACATTGTTAATAATATTTACATTTCAGGCAACAGTAACAGTCTTTAAACCCACAAATCAATATTAGGCACTAGAATCAAGAATAAGGTGGTTAAAACATGATTACTTCATATTTAGAAAAAAAACATACACAGCATCAAGACCAGAATAATTACTTGATCTGTAAACATTGTTAACTGAATGCGGTCCCCAAACATCACACATAAAATATGTTCTTTAGATTCAAAGACTTAAAAAAGCGAATCAGGAAGAGATATTTAAATAACAAGCAGAAGTTGTTCTTTACGACAAAAAAAAAGTATAGGCAAGCAATATTGTACATATATATATTTCAAAAATAAATTATAAGTGCTAAAAATATACTAAATTGATTTATACCCCAGTAGACAAGACATTTGATTTCAAATCAGACAATTTCATTCTAATAATCAACGTAAATTGACAGGTTGCCTGTCGTAATTCAGTCCTACTCTATATTTCTTTGGCTTGTTTTAAAATAAGCATGATTAGTGAAAGTCCCAAAGACTAAATGTGTAAACGACTGCTGAGAGTGTGTCATACTGCACTGATGGTCCAAAGGAGAACAGTTAGAAATCCCAGATTTCCACAAAGATAAATAGCCAGAACTATGTTTTTAAAACAAGATTCCTGGGAAAAGAAAAAGAAAATACAATGGACATATCAGGATATATCATCAATGAAATGCATGTGCTTCTTATGAGGAAGTAGGCACAAACTCAACTCACCACACTATAAGTCTCATTCTCATCAGGAACAAACACAATCTCCTCTTTGTCATCAGAATTAATATGTTCAGTGTAGATTTTGACATTTTTTAAATATTTACCTGAAAAACACACATAAGTATAAGATTACTGAATGCACATTTAAATTAAAGAATAAAACATCCACAAATAACTTGTTTTTCTAGTACAAAAAGAAAGACCCAACATTTCAATTACTACTGCAGTATAAAACCTTTTACAATTTAATGGATTCATCCAGCACATATTATTTCCTGCATAGGCGCAAAGAAACACTACACATATAATAAAATAACTGCTCTGAAAGGGATTCAGAACACACATGTCTGAGGGCAGTTTACTGACCTATAGGTAAAAATCCCCTTCGATGGACTTCCAGAACCAAATCAGCCAGCACAAACCACACCACAATGGCTGCCAGGACCCCTGTGGACCACGGAGCAGGCAGGAACAGAGCTTGCTGATGGATCCCGAGGAAGATGGTGACAACTAAATCATGAAAACACACAGCTTGGTTATGACAGTGTTAATAACACATACTGCTAATACTTCAGGCCCCCCTGAACTAATATTAAAAGTCATAACATCCGCCATAAAAAACACAACTAGTCTCCATAAGAGTAAACTATAAAATATTATATGCAATCAGCTACCAAAAAAACGACACTATTTTATTCAGACAAAACTCAATTTTATTGAATTTACAAAGCTGATTTCTTCTGTCAGCATTGTTGTTAATATGGATCTGAGCCACATAATTAACCGTTCGAGACTATTCACAGCATTGTTTCTTACCAGCCACGACTTGAGCTGCTGTTCCTGTTCCAAAATGCATCCAGTTGAAGATATATCTCCTGTGAGCAGGTTATACAGAAAAGACATTTAAAAACATGACTTATGAATTAATATTAATATAACAGTTATCTACACAACAGGTTTCTAAAATAGTATAGACAACATACAACAAATTCAGATGCTCTGTATACTGGACTTGCATACTGTACACATTTTTTGCAGTATGTATAGTGTGTTGACCATTTTTAAAATAATATAGCTCCTGACAAACAAATTAGAGGATTTGTACATGTTCAAATGGCATACTATCATACAACTCATTTTTTTTCAGTATGCATACTGTGTGTTCAGTGTTCAATAGGAATTTTGGATTTTTTTTTTATGTTTCAGAAATCAGTCTGTTCTGCTCACCAAGGCTGAATTTCCTTCCTAGGTACATAGCTATATGAGGATATCTATGTGCTAACTCAGTGACTGCTCCCCTTCTTAGGGTTTTTAAGTAGCGGTCTCCCTGAGCCCTTGCCTAGACAGTGCTTCTCCCCTGCTGAGTTTTAAGTAGATAGCCATCCCCTTGGTCTGGGCAGCTCTTAGGAAGGTTCATTTCATAAGACCCTTTGGATATAGCTATCTGCGTTCTAGCTGGGATTGTTAGTAGCAATCTTTCAGCTTCTCTAGGCTTCCAGCCTCTTCAGTGGTCTTATGTATCCTGGCTACTATTGCTCACATAGCATAGCTATCTGAGGATGGTTGTGCTCCTAGCTTGGTTAGGGTGTTTTCCCCCTTATCTGAATTCGGGCTACCTCGTTTCTATCAAGTTATGTGAGCAGCCCGAGGCGTAAATAGCTTGGCCCCTTTCTGAGGAAAGGTTTGGTATATGTCTGTCACCTCATTCGTGCTCTCTCACCAGGTGGACAGGCATGCGCTTCGGCATGGCGTGATTGGATATCGTTCCCCAAAGTGTCCCCTAGAGGGGGACGCAGCTCGAAGTTCCCTTGAAGGGGAACATCTGGGGTTACTCATGTAAACATGGTTCCCCTAGAGGGAACGAGACGCTGCGTCCCCTCGCCATGCCTTTGGCTAGCCTCAGTCAACTGAGTAGGTGATGTATTCAGCAGGTGCCCTTTTATACTTTCGGGTACCCACCTATGATTCGGTACGTTTTCACGGTTCAAAATTCAAAATTCACAGTTCGGTTCGGTGTGTTTTCGATACGGGTGGGGGGTAATTGCTTACACCGCAATGTTGGAAATATTTCTGTTTTAAACCATGAAGGCGAGCCAATGGATATCACATAAGCAACGTGCAAACTTTACGAAGAAATTATGCCGCTGGTTCTCTCACTAGTTTCCTGAACCCTACAATGGAGGCCGACGTAAAAGTGCCATGGCTCTGCGCTGGGAGGCAGGGGAGTTTGCGAACAATGAGTAGAAATGGACACTGACGCCAATTTGCAGCTGGTTTATGTAAGATAGTTTTCAATGCTCAAACTCGTCTGTTTATTGTGATAGCATATACACCTGCTACTGCTGCTTGTGTGACTTTGTTAATGATCCAGAAAAAAATCTGCATATGCCGAGATGCCTAAATGTTATTTGAATGTACTGTTTCATGCATATTTGTGATTCCTCTTTAATGAGGTATCTGGAGAGACTTATAAACCATATTTTTAGTGTTTTGTCTACAAAGTTGAGGAGAATATGTATTGTATATTCATATTGTATTTTCTTGTAAGGCAATGTTTGTATATCCCTAAATTATATGAAAATATGAAGCAGTTTTACAGGGTTTTAGGATCAAATTGAAGTGAAAATGTATTCAAAATGAATGTATTTTGTTAAATATCGCTGAAAACAGATCAATTTGGTATCTTTTGTCAAAGGAACATTTTTTTTTAAGAATTAATCTGAATTTGATTGCTCTAATAATATAGGGAAATTTTTGAATGAAATATTCTGCATCCAGATTACATTTCAGTACTTTAGTTACACTCAGTATGAAAACCGTAAATCTATTTAGTAATTATATAAATCTTAGAAAACAATCTATTATTTAAAAATGACCTGTTGCTTTGTTGTCTACAGATAATGTGCATATTTATGTCAAACCGCCATGCTTATAAAACAGTATTGCTTGCTAACCTTTGAATCCATGTCAGTCTCAAGAAAATACTTGCTTTGCATATCGTTTGAACAATCATGTGTTCAAAATACGAATTCAAAAATAAATGTCAATTAAAGGCAATTGTCCATTTATACTACAACAGTTAATTATGTTGATAAGCAACCACACCATGTTGCCTATGTATTAATGCCTATGTAATAACACTTCACAGGAGAAAAAACGTCTTCACACACAGAAATTACTATAGATACAGACAAATTGCATGATATTCAATCTAAATGAAGTAATTAATCAAAACATGGTTTTAGATATACAGCCAGCAGCACAGGTACCCATGATCCTAAAGGACTAAAATAACAGTGCAAAGACACAGATTAATACAAAGCATATGCACATATTTTAGAAGATAAAGCTAGTAACACAGTTTAATTTCAAAAGTTTTATTTAAAAAAAACTGATCAATCTGTCACAGATTGTCATCTGTGCAAAACCCTAAAAAAAATGGTCCACTTCATCCAAACTACATTCAGTCTTTGTACAAAATGGACACATTGTTAATAATATTTACATTTCAGGCAACAGTAACAGTCTTTAAACCCACAAATCAATATTAGGCACTAGAATCAAGAATAAGGTGGTTAAAACATGATTACTTCATATTTAGAAAAAAAACATACACAGCATCAAGACCAGAATAATTACTTGATCTGTAAACATTGTTAACTGAATGCGGTCCCCAAACATCACACATAAAATATGTTCTTTAGATTCAAAGACTTAAAAAAGCGAATCAGGAAGAGATATTTAAATAACAAGCAGAAGTTGTTCTTTACGACAAAAAAAAAGTATAGGCAAGCAATATTGTACATATATATATTTCAAAAATAAATTATAAGTGCTAAAAATATACTAAATTGATTTATACCCCAGTAGACAAGACATTTGATTTCAAATCAGACAATTTCATTCTAATAATCAACGTAAATTGACAGGTTGCCTGTCGTAATTCAGTCCTACTCTATATTTCTTTGGCTTGTTTTAAAATAAGCATGATTAGTGAAAGTCCCAAAGACTAAATGTGTAAACGACTGCTGAGAGTGTGTCATACTGCACTGATGGTCCAAAGGAGAACAGTTAGAAATCCCAGATTTCCACAAAGATAAATAGCCAGAACTATGTTTTTAAAACAAGATTCCTGGGAAAAGAAAAAGAAAATACAATGGACATATCAGGATATATCATCAATGAAATGCATGTGCTTCTTATGAGGAAGTAGGCACAAACTCAACTCACCACACTATAAGTCTCATTCTCATCAGGAACAAACACAATCTCCTCTTTGTCATCAGAATTAATATGTTCAGTGTAGATTTTGACATTTTTTAAATATTTACCTGAAAAACACACATAAGTATAAGATTACTGAATGCACATTTAAATTAAAGAATAAAACATCCACAAATAACTTGTTTTTCTAGTACAAAAAGAAAGACCCAACATTTCAATTACTACTGCAGTATAAAACCTTTTACAATTTAATGGATTCATCCAGCACATATTATTTCCTGCATAGGCGCAAAGAAACACTACACATATAATAAAATAACTGCTCTGAAAGGGATTCAGAACACACATGTCTGAGGGCAGTTTACTGACCTATAGGTAAAAATCCCCTTCGATGGACTTCCAGAACCAAATCAGCCAGCACAAACCACACCACAATGGCTGCCAGGACCCCTGTGGACCACGGAGCAGGCAGGAACAGAGCTTGCTGATGGATCCCGAGGAAGATGGTGACAACTAAATCATGAAAACACACAGCTTGGTTATGACAGTGTTAATAACACATACTGCTAATACTTCAGGCCCCCCTGAACTAATATTAAAAGTCATAACATCCGCCATAAAAAACACAACTAGTCTCCATAAGAGTAAACTATAAAATATTATATGCAATCAGCTACCAAAAAAACGACACTATTTTATTCAGACAAAACTCAATTTTATTGAATTTACAAAGCTGATTTCTTCTGTCAGCATTGTTGTTAATATGGATCTGAGCCACATAATTAACCGTTCGAGACTATTCACAGCATTGTTTCTTACCAGCCACGACTTGAGCTGCTGTTCCTGTTCCAAAATGCATCCAGTTGAAGATATATCTCCTGTGAGCAGGTTATACAGAAAAGACATTTAAAAACATGACTTATGAATTAATATTAATATAACAGTTATCTACACAACAGGTTTCTAAAATAGTATAGACAACATACAACAAATTCAGATGCTCTGTATACTGGACTTGCATACTGTACACATTTTTTGCAGTATGTATAGTGTGTTGACCATTTTTAAAATAATATAGCTCCTGACAAACAAATTAGAGGATTTGTACATGTTCAAATGGCATACTATCATACAACTCATTTTTTTTCAGTATGCATACTGTGTGTTCAGTGTTCAATAGGAATTTTGGATTTTTTTTTTATGTTTCAGAAATCAGTCTGTTCTGCTCACCAAGGCTGAATTTCCTTCCTAGGTACATAGCTATATGAGGATATCTATGTGCTAACTCAGTGACTGCTCCCCTTCTTAGGGTTTTTAAGTAGCGGTCTCCCTGAGCCCTTGCCTAGACAGTGCTTCTCCCCTGCTGAGTTTTAAGTAGATAGCCATCCCCTTGGTCTGGGCAGCTCTTAGGAAGGTTCATTTCATAAGACCCTTTGGATATAGCTATCTGCGTTCTAGCTGGGATTGTTAGTAGCAATCTTTCAGCTTCTCTAGGCTTCCAGCCTCTTCAGTGGTCTTATGTATCCTGGCTACTATTGCTCACATAGCATAGCTATCTGAGGATGGTTGTGCTCCTAGCTTGGTTAGGGTGTTTTCCCCCTTATCTGAATTCGGGCTACCTCGTTTCTATCAAGTTATGTGAGCAGCCCGAGGCG